TCGGGACGATACCCTGGAAGCTCTAGGGAGAATACAGGTACAGGGCGGCAACCTTTGGATGAAGGAAGGAGCAAGGGCAGTCAAATGTGGATTGTGATCGTTCCGTACCTGCCGTTCAGTAAAGTAATAAAGTAAAAGTGAGTAGTGAAGGTGTGACCAAATGTTTAAGTGTGTTAAGCTTTACATTTAGAACAATGTATGAAATTGATAGCTAAACAGAGTCTGTTTCTTTAACAAGGCTTTTGTAGTCTGGATCAGGATTTCGATTTTAGTGATTTCACAAGAAATACATAAATTTAATTCGGTTCGCTTTTTATGTTTAAAATTTTTTTTTTTGACTCAAATATATTTATATTCATAAAACGAAACATGAATACAGAGGAAACGTATTCACAGCTGTAAATATAAATACGGCAGTATTCACCACTTTAAAAGTGAATACGGCTGTATTGACAGTTGTACAAGTGAATACGGCAGTATTCACGTTAAGTAAAATGAATACGCTTAAATTTACAGAACTGAATGAAAATATTCAGTCTTTTTGAAAATCGCTTATTACAATTTAACAATTTTATGGAACACAAACATTGAATGCAACATGGAAATATACTTTTGTATAAAAACAAATATATATTTTATTAAGATAAAATTAAGGACATATCCAATATTGAAATTATTATTATCAAAGATAAAGACGTCGCTATCACAACATTTTAGGGAGATGAACGGAAGGAAAACTTAAATTTTCTCAACAATTCCAATAGATGGGGGAAAAAAAATCGACGTAATTATTTGGTAAATAAATGCTTTAATTTTTTCAACTTTCTTTTTGTATTCGCACTGTTGCGAACGTTAACAATGTAAATTCTAAAGCTAAGACTTTTTTTATTGGGTTGGAGAATCTTTCCTCTTTGTATAGTCCAATCGGATGCCCAGTCCATTCCGACCCTCCCGAAACCTTCTCATCCCCACCCCTTCAGGCGTTCTTCATTCAGTCAGTGACCATCTCTTGGGTATTGCAGTTCTCTCTTTGAAAATCTTCATAATGGATTATCAAGACAGCGATTCAAAAATGGTATGCATCACACAACGTACATATTTAATTTAATAATAATTACATATATAAATAATCGTGGAAATTTTCTATTAATTTTAACAATTTCATAGGTTGCATTTTATAAAGAACTGCTGACGGCGGAAGACTGCGATTTGGAACCAGAAGTGGTATGTATCACACAACATTTATATTTAATTTAATAATAATTAAATATTATATATATATAAATAATTGTGGAAAGTTTTGATTAATTTTAACTATGTGATAGGTTGCATTTTATAAAGATCTGCTGGGTTGGGAATCTTCACCACCCTCAAAACCAACGTGTAAGCCTTCGCTACATTCAACAAGATCGCTACCACAACAAGAACCAGTAAAATTACAGCGATACACAACATGCAAGAAGAGTTTATCAGAAGTCTTTAAAAAATTAGCCAGCAACGGTGTCACAGTAAGTATTTTTCTGTAAATAGAAATATTTGAATTATCAATATCTTTATATTTTTAATTGGGAACTTACTAAGAATAATTTTTTTTTCAGATCACTGGGAGAGGCACTGTTCAACAAGAATTCCAAAATAAACAAACCATTCTCACCAGTTCTACAAGATTCCATCCATTGCCAGCTTCTCCGAAAAAATCATCGAAAGCGCCGATTCTGATAAACGAATCAGGGTCCATAAAAAAAAGGATGCAGCCAAAGATGATGTAAGTTATATTTATTTCGTTTCCGTACTATTCGTTGAAGAAATCACAAAATAATTTAGCATTTAATTGTTGTATATAGTTTCGATATTTACACTTACATTGCTTTCAGATTTTCAAAGAGACGGAAAGTGCCGTTTAGGTGTACTTTCTGTACCAAGCGATTTAAATCTCAGGAACGCCTGAAATTCCACCACCAAAGAATGCATGGTATCATTTACTTGAGTACTTGGTTAGAAATACGGTAATGAAAAGAAATACGACGCCTCTTACGAATTAGTTTCCGAAGAGGGACATGTTGTCATTGATTTAACCTAATAAGATTGTATAATATTAAAACATTGAAGATCGTATACATTTTTACTGGATATTATTTTTCAACAATAATATATATTATTGTAAATATTTTTTATTTTTATCATATTTATATACATATATTGTAGGATGTTTTACTGTAGATATTTGCACATGTTGTGAGATGAAATATACTCGTACATTATTTAAATCATTTATCATGATTTAACCTAATAAGATTTTATAATATTAAAACATTGAAGATCGTATAAATTTTTACTGGATATTATTTTTCAATAATAATATATATCATTGTAAATATTTTTAATTTGTATCATATTTATATATATATATATATGTTTTAGGATATTTTTCTGTAGATAGATGTACATGTTTTGAGATGAAATATACTCGTACATTATTTAAATCATTGTTCATATATTTTTTTAATCCCAATAAATACCCAAAATCGAATAATTAACACTTACTAACGTGCATAATCATGTATATTGTTTAATTTATAATATTCAATTGATATTTGAATTAAATTTATATTAATATTATAAAGTCTGATAAGACTTCGATGTATTAATACATCGAAGTCTTATCAGATCATGTGCTAAAAATGAGATAAAATAAATTTTAAAAACCAATATTGAAAATGAAATTCAAGATTATAATCAACAAACGGCAATGATACATAATATAATACTAAATAAATTACATGGGTGATAAATATTCAGGCCTCAATCTTTTTTCTTAATTTTTTTTATTATTTTTTTAAAAATAATTTAAAATAAATAAAAAAACATAAAAAAGGTAAAAAAAAAACTGAATATTTATCACCCATGATATGTAGAACAGTCGACTAACTTTCTTAAATAAATTACAATTAACTTAAATCTTAAAGAAAGAGAAATTTAATCAATAAGGATTACATAAATCTATTGGGTTTCGGGATGAAGCTCCCCAAAATGGTAAAATATAATCATGTTTTATAGAAAAAAATATTGAAAAACTACATATAAAAAACTGGACTTCACTTAAGCACCATATCATTCTGATACTGCTCCTGTTGAAGAAAGATGCCGAGCAGATGTCTTAATGCTCAAGGAAATCACATTGACCAACATTCGATATGAATTTGATGTTAACGTTTAATTAATAAAGTAGTTAGAACAAATAGGTAAGTTTTATTTATTTAATATAACGTAAATAATTCATAACAATGAAAATCGTTAGGTGAGAATATCTCCTAAACAAAGAGGTGGCTCTAGATATTATATACCTAGATTTATTGTAACTGACGATGGAGCATATTAGATTTAAGACATGCATCCCAAGATCATTGGAATTATGGTTCTGAAGATGGGAGTAAAAATTCAGAAACGTAAACTTGTAAACATGCATTTCTGATAATACAACAAATAAATTCAATTGTTGTTAATTGGAAGTAATCATTGCCAATAACAAAGATTTTTTTTTTTTTTTTTGACTCAAATATATTTATATTCATAAAACGAAACATGAAAACAGAGGAAACGTATTCACAGCTGTAAATATAAATACGGCAGTATTCACCACTTTAAAAGTGAATACGGCTGTATTGACAGTTGTACAAGTGAATACGGCAGTATTCACGTTAAGTAAAATGAATACGCTTAAATTTACAGAACTGAATGAAAATATTCAGTCTTTTTGAAAATCGCTTATTAAAATTTAACAATTTTATGGAACACAAACATTGAATGCAACATGGAAATATACTTTTGTATAAAAACAAATATATATTTTATTAAGATAAAATTAAGGACATATCCAATATTGAAATTATTATTATCAAAGATAAAGACGTCGCTATCACAACATTTTAGGGAGATGAACGGAAGGAAAACTTAAATTTTCTCAACAATTCCAATAGATGGGGGAAAAAAATCGACGTAATTATTTGGTAAATAAATGCTTTAATTTTTTCAACTTTCTTTTTGTATTCGCACTGTTGCGAACGTTAACAATGTAAATTCTAAAGCTAAGACTTTTTTTATTGGGTTGGAGAATCTTTCCTCTTTGTATAGTCCAATCGGATGCCCAGTCCATTCCGACCCTCCCGAAACCTTCTCATCCCCACCCCTTCAGGCGTTCTTCATTCAGTCAGTGACCATCTCTTGGGTATTGCAGTTCTCTCTTTGAAAATCTTCATAATGGATTATCAAGACAGCGATTCAAAAATGGTATGCATCACACAACGTACATATTTAATTTAATAATAATTACATATATAAATAATCGTGGAAATTTTCTATTAATTTTAACAATTTCTTAGGTTGCATTTTATAAAGAACTGCTGACGGCGGAAGACTGCGATTTGGAACCAGAAGTGGTATGTATCACACAACATTTATATTTAATTTAATAATAATTAAATATTATATATATATATAAATAATTGTGGAAAGTTTTGATTAATTTTAACTATGTGATAGGTTGCATTTTATAAAGATCTGCTGGGTTGGGAATCTTCACCACCCTCAAAACCAACGTGTAAGCCTTCGCTACATTCAACAAGATCGCTACCACAACAAGAACCAGTAAAATTACAGCGATACACAACATGCAAGAAGAGTTTATCAGAAGTCTTTAAAAAATTAGCCAGCAACGGTGTCACAGTAAGTATTTTTCTGTAAATAGAAATATTTGAATTATCAATATCTTTATATTTTTAATTGGGAACTTACTAAGAATAATTTTTTTTTCAGATCACTGGGAGAGGCACTGTTCAACAAGAATTCCAAAATAAACAAACCATTCTCACCAGTTCTACAAGATTCCATCCATTGCCAGCTTCTCCGAAAAAATCATCGAAAGCGCCGATTCTGATAAACGAATCAGGGTCCATAAAAAAAAGGATGCAGCCAAAGATGATGTAAGTTATATTTATTTCGTTTCCGTACTATTCGTTGAAGAAATCACAAAATAATTTAGCATTTAATTGTTGTATATAGTTTCGATATTTACACTTACATTGCTTTCAGATTTTCAAAGAGACGGAAAGTGCCGTTTAGGTGTACTTTCTGTACCAAGCGATTTAAATCTCAGGAACGCCTGAAATTCCACCACCAAAGAATGCATGGTATCATTTACTTGAGTACTTGGTTAGAAATACGGTAATGAAAAGAAATACGACGCCTCTTACGAATTAGTTTCCGAAGAGGGACATGTTGTCATTGATTTAACCTAATAAGATTGTATAATATTAAAACATTGAAGATCGTATACATTTTTACTGGATATTATTTTTCAACAATAATATATATTATTGTAAATATTTTTTATTTTTATCATATTTATATACATATATTGTAGGATGTTTTACTGTAGATATTTGCACATGTTGTGAGATGAAATATACTCGTACATTATTTAAATCATTTATCATGATTTAACCTAATAAGATTTTATAATATTAAAACATTGAAGATCGTATAAATTTTTACTGGATATTATTTTTCAATAATAATATATATCATTGTAAATATTTTTAATTTGTATCATATTTATATATATATATATATGTTTTAGGATATTTTTCTGTAGATAGATGTACATGTTTTGAGATGAAATATACTCGTACATTATTTAAATCATTGTTCATATATTTTTTTAATCCCAATAAATACCCAAAATTGAATAATTAACACTTACTAACGTGCATAATCATGTATATTGTTTAATTTATAATATTCAATTGATATTTGAATTAAATTTATATTAATATTATAAAGTCTGATAAGACTTCGATGTATTAATACATCGAAGTCTTATCAGATCATGTGCTAAAAATGAGATAAAATAAATTTTAAAAAGCAATATTGAAAATGAAATTCAAGATTATAATCAACAAACGGCAATGATACATAATATAATACTAAATAAATTACATGGGTGATAAATATTCAGGACTCAATCTTTTTTCTTAATTTTTTTTATTATTTTTTTAAAAATAATTTAAAATAAATAAAAAAACATAAAAAAGGTAAAAAAAAAACTGAATATTTATCACCCATGATATGTAGAACAGTCGACTAACTTTCTTAAATAAATTACAATTAACCTAAATCTTAAAGAAAGAGAAATTTAATCAATAAGGATTACATAAATCTATTGGGGTTTCGGGATGAAGCTCCCCAAAATGGTAAAATATAATCATGTTTTATAGAAAAAAATATTGAAAAACTACATATAAAAAACTGGACTTCACTTAAGCACCATATCATTCTGATACTGCTCCTGTTGAAGAAAGATGCCGAGCAGATGTCTTAATGCTCAAGGAAATCACATTGACCAACATTCGATATGAATTTGATGTTAACGTTTAATTAATAAAGTAGTTAGAACAAATAGGTAAGTTTTATTTATTTAATATAACGTAAATAATTCATAACAATGAAAATCGTTAGGTGAGAATATCTCCTAAACAAAGAGTTTGCGGACATACCTTCAAAGGAATTTTTTTTTCATGCTTTTATGCACCCAATAATTAGTCTAAAAGCAAGATGTTGCTCTAGATATTATATACCTAGATTTATTGTAACTGACGATGGAGCATATTAGATTTAAGACCTGTATCCCAAGATCATTGGAATTATGATTCTAAAGATGGGAGTAAATATTCCGAAACGTAAACTTGTAAACATGCATTTTTGATAATACAACAAATAAATTCAAGTAATCATATCCAATAACAAAGATTTTTTTTTTTTTTTTGACTCAATATATATTTATATTCATAAAACGAAACATGAATACAGAGGAAACGTATTCACAGCTGTAAATATAAATACGGCAGTATTCACCACTTTAAAATCGAATACGGCTGTATTGACAGTTGTACAAGTGAATACGGCAGTATTCACGTTAAGTAAAATGAATACGCTTAAATTTACAGAACTGAATGAAAATATTCAGTCTTTTTGAAAATCGCTTATTAAAATTTAACAATTTTATGGAACACAAACATTGAATGCAACATGGAAATATACTTTTGTATAAAAACAAATATATATTTTATTAAGATAAAATTAAGGACATATCCAATATTGAAATTATTATTATCAAAGATAAAGACGTCGCTATCACAACATTTTTGGGAGATGAACGGAAGGAAAACTTAAATTTTCTCAACAATTCCAATAGATGGGGGAAAAAAAATCGACGTAATTATTTGGTAAATAAATGCTTTAATTTTTTCAACTTTCTTTTTGTATTCGCACTGTTGCGAACGTTAACAATGTAAATTCTAAAGCTAAGACTTTTTTTATTGGGTTGGAGAATCTTTCCTCTTTGTATAGTCCAATCGGATGCCCAGTCCATTCCGACCCTCCCGAAACCTTCTCATCCCCACCCCTTCAGGCGTTCTTCATTCAGTCAGTGACCATCTCTTGGGTATTGCAGTTCTCTCTTTGAAAATCTTCATAATGGATTATCAAGACAGCGATTCAAAAATGGTATGCATCACACAACGTACATATTTAATTTAATAATAATTACATATATAAATAATTGTGAAAATTTTCTATTAATTTTAACAATTTCATAGGTTGCATTTTATAAAGAACTGCTGACGGCGGAAGACTGCGATTTGGAACCAGAAGTGGTATGTATCACACAACATTTATATTTAATTTAATAATAATTAAATATTATATATATATATATAAATAATTGTGGAAAGTTTTGATTAATTTTAACTATGTGATAGGTTGCATTTTATAAAGATCTGCTGGGTTGGGAATCTTCACCACCCTCAAAACCAACGTGTAAGCCTTCGCTACATTCAACAAGATCGCTACCACAACAAGAACCAGTAAAATTACAGCGATACACAACATGCAAGAAGAGTTTATCAGAAGTCTTTAAAAAATTAGCCAGCAACGGTGTCACAGTAAGTATTTTTCTGTAAATAGAAATATTTGAATTATCAATATCTTTATATTTTTAATTGGGAACTTACTAAGAATAATTTTTTTTTTCAGATCACTGGGAGAGGCACTGTTCAACAAGAATTCCAAAATAAACAAACCATTCTCACCAGTTCTACAAGATTCCATCCATTGCCAGCTTCTCCGAAAAAATCATCGAAAGCGCCGATTCTGATAAACGAATCAGGGTCCATAAAAAAAAGGATGCAGCCAAAGATGATGTAAGTTATATTTATTTCGTTTCCGTACTATTCGTTGAAGAAATCACAAAATAATTTAGCATTTAATTGTTGTATATAGTTTCGATATTTACACTTACATTGCTTTCAGATTTTCAAAGAGACGGAAAGTGCCGTTTAGGTGTACTTTCTGTACCAAGCGATTTAAATCTCAGGAACGCCTGAAATTCCACCACCAAAGAATGCATCGTATCATTTACTTGAGTACTTGGTTAGAAATACGCTAATGAAAAGAAATACGACGCCTCTTACGAATTAGTTTCCGAAGAGGGACATGTTGTCATTGATTTCACCTAATAAGATTGTATAACATTAAAACATTGAAGATCGTATACATTTTTACTGGATATTATTTTTCAACAATAATATATATCATTGTAAATATTTTTTATTTTTATCATATTTATATACATATATTGTAGGATGTTTTACTTTAGATATTTGCACATGTTGTGAGATGAAATATACTCGTACATTATTTAAATCATTTATCATGATTTAACCTAATAAGATTGTATAATATTAAAACATTGAAGATCGTATACATTTTTACTGGATATTATTTTTCAACAATAATATATATCCATAATGATGTAGAGTTGGTTGACCGTTGATATGATATGAGAAGGAATTAGTCGAGGGTGCGGTCAAAATAATAAAAAAATTAAAATATATAAATAATTTTAATTTTTGCCAACAATTAAAATTATTTATATATTTTAATTTTTTTATTATTTTGACCGCACCCTCGACTAATTCCTTCTCAAATAATATATATCATTGTAAATATTTTTTTATTTTTATCATATTTATATATATATATATATATGTTTTAGGATATTTTTCTGTAGATAGATGTACATGTTCTGAGATAAAATATACTCGTACATAATTTAAATCATTGTTCATATATTTTTTTAATCCCAATAAATAACCAAAGTTGAATAATTAACATTTATTAACGTGCAAAATCATCTATATTGTTTAATTTATAATATTCAATTGATATTTGAACTAAATTTATATTAATATTATAAAGTCTGATAAGACTTCGATGTATTAATACATCGAAGTCTTATCAAATCATGTGCTAAAAATGAGATAAAATAAATTTTAAAAAGCAATATTGAAAATGAAATTCAAGATTCTGATAAACAAACGGCAATGATACGTAATATAATACTAAATAAATTACATGGGTGATAAATATTCAGGACTCAATCTTTTTTCTTAATCTTTTTTATTATCTTTTTAAAAATAATTTAAAATAAATAAAAAAAACATAAAAAAAGGTAAAAAAAGAAAAAAAAATCTGCGTCCTGAATATTTATCACCCATGATATGTAGAACAGTCGATTAACTTTTTTAAATAAATTACAATTAACCTAAATCTTAAAGAAAGAGAAATTTAATCAATAATGATTACATAAATCTATTGGGGTTTCGGGATGAAGCTCCCTAAAATGGTAAAATATAAACATGTTTTGTAGAAAAAAATATTGAAAAACTGCATATAAAAAACTGGACTTCACTTAAGCACCATATCATTCTGATACTGCTCCTTGTTGAAGAAAGATGCCGAGCAGATGTCTTAATGCTCAAGGAAATCCCAAGATCATTGGAATTATGGTTCTGAAGATGGGAGTAAAAATTCAGAAAAGTAAACTTGTAAATATGCATTTTTTTTTATTATTTTTTTTTAAATAATTTAAAATAAATAAAAAAACATAAAAAAGGTAAAAAAAAAAAAAGACTGCGTCTTGAATATTTATCACCCATGATATGTAGAACAGTCGACTAACTTTCTTAAATAAATTACAATTAACCTAAATGTTAAAGAAAGAGAAATTTAAACGATAAGGATTACATAAATCTACTGGGGTTTCGGGATGAAGCTCCCCAAAATGGTAAAATATATCCATGTTTTATAGAAAAAAAAATATTAAAAACTACACTGAAAACACTAAAAAAATAAAAACTACATATAAAAATCTGGACTTCACTTAAGCACCATATCATATACGTAGGTAGTTTGTTTTTTTTCAAATTAATTATTGTTATATATATGAAACAAAAAATCTTTTGGGCTGAGCTCCCCCCCCCCCCTAAGCTAGGGCATAAATCTTGAGACCTGGGCGGCGGTACTATTTCCTGGAAAAGGGGGTTAGCACTGATCTACAGCCTGTCAAAAAATTTGATGTGCCTTCGGCCTATGAACTCAGGCACGGGCGGATCTACGGGGGGGGGGGGTGCTTTCGGGCTGAAGCTCCCCCTCCCCCAAAATGGAAAAATATAACCATGTTTTATGGAAAAAAATATTAAATAATACCTCTTAAAGTATTATTGTTCGTGTAATTACATTTAAAAGTACTTAAGGAATAACTTAAACACCATTTCATATAGGTAGTTAGTTTCTTTCTGTTTTTCCAAAGTAATTATCGTTATTTTTATGAAAAAAAAAGGTTTCGGGCTGAAGCCCCCCCAAAATTAAATCCTGGATCCGCTAGTGAACTCTGGCACCGTTGGGAGCTGAAGCTCCTCTCGGATCTTTACATTATTTGCCCTTTGCAGCGTGGTACCTCTGACTTTCTAATCTAATTTCAACAGGGGTTATATTGATATTCAGATTTTAATTTTTGACGAGAGAGGCTAATCTAAAACTAGACTAGAGATCTAGAAACTAGTCTAGACTTATCTTACTTTCCTTATTTTTTATAATGAAATTACTACAATTCAATCTAAAGCCAGAACTGATTCTGACTGAATAAATAGGGGTTTTCAGCCAATAAATTTGATTTTATTATAGGTATTATTTCCTATTCTTACATTCGAGTTTCTACTTTTTTATTATTTATAAGCCTCATCAAGCATTCAATACAGTACTTTATTTTCTTTGCTACCTTTTCATCGAAATGTAAACATATTTATTGTATAAATAAAAAATAATATCACTGAATTATAATAGTAGGCAATTTTTTCATTTATGCATTGCGTATAACCTTTCCCAACCCTTTTCCTATTATTAAATGTTTGTTGATGTATTGACTCTAGAACTATTGTATAATTATTTAAATCAGCTGATTCTATGAAGAAGGAAGGACACGCGTTCCGTATTGGTACGAATTACGTCTCTACAAGAAATAACAAATCTGACTTAGCTTCTCAAATAAAAAGATTGATACCAGAAGAACAAATCTCTTTTTTTTTTTTGTATTTTTTATCAAAAGTATATGAGTTGGTGATCCAGCAATGAAAGTCGAATAATCCCTTCTGAGAGGTATACCGTGAAGCGGTATACCTTTTATGCCAGGAAATAATATTGAAAGGAAACGTAATTCAGTACAATAAAACTAATATGGAAATGACAAACATTTACAATCTTATTTATAACAATGATAGGTGTGAATGCTTAAATGGAAATAAAAAAAAAGTTATTATTTATAAGTTGGATACTACAACTCGGAAACAAGTCCTGCCCTCCTCAACCAGCTTCCTCCAAATGCATCTCTCTGGCAGCCATCATCCAATCCCTGACGATGAGCATATTTCGAGCGTCCTTTGACCCACTGCACAGTAAGGGAAAACTCACGACATCGGCTAAATACTTTTTTTTTCAATTGAACTATTCGATAATAACAGTGCACAATAATTACTCGTTCCATTGTGCACAGTCAGTCCATCGAAGCTTTGTCCATCTCCGCCTTCGTCCGAAGAACTGTTTTCTTAACAGCTTCCCCGGCATCTCTTTGTATCCCATACGGGCCACATAACCACCCAACGTAACCTTCCTGTTCGTAGGATTTGGGAATTATCCGGCTCTCGATATATATCTAAAAGCCTTTGCTTGCTTCTTCTTCTCCATTCGTTGACAACTTTCTTTCCTCCAAATATCCTACGAAGAACTTTTCTATCAAAGATTCAAAAACCGGGAAAGGACTATTGAACGTATTAGGATCTTATAGGAAAAAAATAAAATACATTTCACTATTTATGGCATAACTTCAATTAAAAAAAATAATACTGTTTAACTCATTAATAAATATTTCATTAAAAAAAAAACTTTAAATTCACAATTGTATATTACATTATACAATATGTTATTTATGTTGAGTAAAGTCGCAAATAAATATCTACAGTGGATCAAAAAAGTATTGGCACACTCCATTTTTTCTGAAAATCTCAATAAAAAATCACCGGTCTTTGCTTATATATTGCTGTATAAAAACCACAGAGTTAAATTACAATATAATGGACTTAACTATCGATAAACAGCGAATAAATTAAAAATTGGGTTTTAGCAGTGTTCCAAATATTGTACAAAAGATTAATGAGAGGGCACAAAGGAATATCCATCGACTTGTTGAGCAAAATGACACTTTATTAGCCGCCCAGATAGCAGAAGAGGTCGCATTTACTTCAACTACCACCTTCTGTTATAAATGTTATTCATAAATATTATTATTATGACAGATTCCAAAGAAAAAACCTTTATTACTGAAGAGAAGTGCAAAAAAAAAAAGACTTTAGTTTGCCAAAAGTTAATTTAATAACGACCTACAATTCTATGAAAATGTTATCTTTTCAGATGAAAGTAAGTTAAACATATTCCATTCTAATGGCCACCAGTTCGTTATGTAGAAACTTGAAACTCAGTTTCAAACTCAACATGTAAAACATCCTTCGCCCGCCACCATAAAACATGTGAAACCCCTTATAAAACACCGAAGTGAAAGTGTCCAGGTATGAGAGGGAAATTCATGGAATGGCGTTGGAAACTTGACCTTTATTGACAATATTATGAATATCGAACAATATGTCGACATTTTGCGTCATAATTTAACAAGTAGAGCCGAAAATCTGAGGATGTCCCGTAAAATAATTTATATAACATAAATAAGTATAGTTGATAAAAGCAGTAAAACACTGAAGATAGTATTAGACTATTAAAAAATAATTAGACAGAAAAACTAAAATCCTGAAGAATACTAAGAAAATTCCTCTTATTTTTAACCATGTTCCAACAGCTATGTTCTCTTTGCCAGTTATCACTTTGTATAAGAAGCAAAACCTTCCACACAGTCTGGTTTACTTTTCAGTTTTGTATCATAACATTTCATATATATTTTGTAGCTTAATGTTGTTTTCGTTTGTGTTTAAGCCTAATTTTTAGCTGACAATGGAGGACACAGGTAAGATTTTAAAATGTATTTTCTAAATTAGTTTCAACGTTATTCATACCATTAAAATGCATTGATTTTGCAACACAATTATTCTATTACATTGGATATTGGTAATAGTTTACTGGTCAAAGTTTTACTGAGTCTATTCTGTAATAAAGTGGAATATATTTTATATTAAGTTATCCATTGATGTTGCCAGTTTAGAACTAATGACTGTTTTGATATTTTGAGCATCAATTACTAAAGATTGGTATTTATTTGAGGTTCTTTCAAATTTTAGATGTTTTCAATTCAGTAATGTTGTTTAGTTGTCAATTTATTCATTTGGTTAATAGTATTTTATTTGCTTTAGTTTATTTCTATACAGTTTATTAACTTAAAACTCACTAGTTGGCATATTACATACATTTTAAGATGCGTTTATTTAATATATATTTAGTACTGTAATTAAGTTTGTTGGTTATTTATTTAAAGTAATAACATTTTTTGTGCATTAAGGTTTTAAAAAATAAATTAAATTTCTCCTGAAAATTTCTGAATGTCCTCTTTGTATGCTAATAGTTTTCTCAACTGGGTTAGCTTAATTTTATTATTTTATTAGTTATAAATTTAGAATTGATTATTTTTAAAGATTCTATTTGTCATATCATTAACTGTAATACTATTCATCATTCAAAATTTCAATTTACTGTAATTTATATATTAATTTCCTCTTCTAATAAATTATGAAAGTATACATATTTAATTTATTCTATTTTCATAACATCTCAGATTAGTGATGTTTTCTAAACCTCTGAAGAATTATGAAATGTCTAGTATTTTATTTATAAGTATTTCTGTTTATTTTAATTTATTATTTTGCAAGCATTCATATATTTGAAAATTTCTTTAAACTAGTACTTCTAGATTTCAATTTTTATTAAATTTAAATTTAAGCAATATTTTAGTCTACTGCTATTTGTCATAATGATTCCAATCCTAAAATTTTATTGAACTTATCAGATTGCAATTGTTTACCTGTATAATGTGCAAAATGTAGTTTTACTTTTAAAAGTTGATGTGAATGATATACTTTATATATTCTAGAATCATTAGTTGCCATTGGAAATGAGGAAGTCTCTCATGAAAGTGAGAATGTTACAAATGAAAATGAAGAAATGACAGATGGAGGCAAAGAAGTATCAAATGAAAGTGAAGAATTATCAAATGAAAGTGAAGAAGTAACACGGGAAGATGACGAAGTGATGCATGAGTGTGAAGAAATAACAAATGACAATGAAATGTATATTTCTGATGGTAAGTAATTTTTAGTATTTTTCACCCTTTAATCCTTTGACTGCAGACAGGATACATGCCTTCCTGTTAAGAGTTGGGTCACTAGTGCTGACGGGATATATGCCTTCCCGTTAGTGAGTTGGGTCACTGGTGCAACTGGGATATTTACCTTTCCATCTGGGTGGTCGTCACTTAAATAGGTAGGGTCTTCGCCTTCACCATTTGACTTGTGGCTTGGTTGGTGCATTCATTAGTCCCCTGTAGCTAACTCACTGCAGTTATTCTGACCATTTGGAGCTATTAGTTGCAGATTTATTCTGAACCCAAAGTATGTCCTTTCTCTGTTATTTGCGTCATATCTATGATCTTATTTATATGCTATTTGAAAGTTTTATACATAAAATAAATGTTAATAAGTTAATTTCATAATTTTTGGAAAAATGGGAATCATTAACATAGGGAATACATAGGAAATTATTGGTGGCGAATTTTCGCATGACTACTGGACACGATTACTTGCAAAGGCATTTATATAGGATTAGAGTGATGGAAAGCCCTGTGTGCCCTCTTTGCCAGGAGGATGAAATGTACGACCTGCACCTCCTAGTATGCCCTACTCTGTCAGATGTCACCAGTAATCTTTCTGATGGGACGGGCACAAATACAAGGAATGAAATCAACAAATTGGAGAAATGTGTTATGGCTGCTAGAAGCCGAATGGCCTGCTAGCCAACGGCAGAGGCATAAAAAAAAAAATTAAAAAAAGGTATTTTAAACAATGTCATTGCCTTGATTTGGTGGATTTTAAATACCATTTATTCAAACTTAAAAAAATGTTAATAAGTTCACATGTGATTTACATTAAATAATGTTAGTTTTCAGAAATTATTATTTATATCTTTTTTTTTGTAACTCTCCGTTACCTTCTCCTGAATTTTCACTTTTCAACTATATATTATACGCATACCTTCTGAATATTATTTCCAGAGATTCATTTTCGACCTGGATAAGTATTTTTCTTTATTTCTCCTTTATTCAATTATCAAATTCTTTCAAAAGTTATATTTAGCCTTTTTTCATAACTCCTAACAATGAGAGATAGTTAATGACTTAAAATAAACCAAATTAAAGGTACTTTAGAGAAGGAAACTTTGAACTTTTAAGCGATGTGGATAAAATCTAGCTGATGTTATAGACCATTCAATTATACATCGGTATACCAAGTTTAATAAAAATTGTTTGATCAAATTGTAAAAATGGATAAAATTGATTATATTAAGCAGCACTTCCGGTAAACCTATTATAAGGAAAAAGTTGATGTAACATCCCTACTATATATCTAACTTCAATATGTAATTTCAGTTTCATGCGCCTTTTGCTTTTTGAGCGAGGCTGTTCACATACACTCAGACCATTTTTTGGGACTTGGTTATTTGGACTCAGGGTACCCCAAAACGTGTATTTCTATTGAAAACTGAGATCTGAACATTTTCACGATTGCAATACACTACAATACACAATCGCTTGCTATATATTTGATATATAGATAAGTGAAAGTAAAAATCTATTTTATATTGTGTGTTAAATTCAGTATTTGGTACTCTTGCCATAACGTTAATCTGTGCCATAATGTGCCCAAATTTAAGAATTTCTTCCTCTAAAGTACCTTTAATTTTGTTTATTTTAAAACAATATCTAACATACAAAGTCATAGAAGGTAATAAAAATAACGATAAAAGTATGAATAATAATTTCTGAAAATTAATATTATTTAGTGGAAAACAAATGTTTCCATCGAAGAAAAATGAAATTCTCTTACTAAATGTAAATTTTTATAATTATATTTAAGTTTGTAAAAAAAGCAATGAAATTGCTTAAAAGCTATTTTATTGTACTTTTATTAAAGAAGAAGGGAAATATAAAAATATTTAATGGATGAGTAAAACATATGTGTATATCCTTAAAGAGCATTTAATAACTTTAGATGCGATAATATAAATAAATAATCAGGTATATATAATCGATTTTTTTAAAACTAGTTTAATTTGATAGCATTTTAGAAAAGAAAAGGAGTGAATCATTTGATGAATTTTCCCTCTGTGAAATTACAACATTATACCTTACTGGGAAAAAAATAAGAGTTTAAATACATGTAAAAAGTGATAGAGATTTTTTTTTAACTTTATTTTTTTAAATTCACACCTGTTGGGGATACTTTTTTTTTATTGTCTTCTCCCCTTCTTTGTCATTAAGGCTATAAGACGTCAAAGAGTAAAAGTAATATGTTGTGATTTGTCTTGGTTGAGTCTAATTTTCCAGAGTTTACACCAGTTATGAAATTTAATTAGGTGATATTGTAGAGTCTGTGAGGCCTGTGCTGGATTTTGATGTCTTGTTAAGATCGTCATATCGTCTGCGTGAGTCGCGGTCAGAGTTTCGAAACTGTGTAGAATATCATGTGCGTAAACGATATATAGCAGTGAAGCGAGTACTGAATCTTGAGTTACTCCTGCTAAGGCTGGTTTAATAGTAGAAAGTTCTGTGCCTTGGCAGACAGAAAAAAATCTTTTAGAAAGAAAAGATTTAAGGATAAGATAGAAGGTTGGAGCAATTATCGTCTTAAGTTTGAAAAGAAGCCCCTGATATCAGACTATCAAAGGCTTCAGCAACATCAAGAAGTACTCTTGTTATAATTTATGCTCTAATGGTTGAATAGTATCTTGGGAATCCAAATTGATATTCGGGTATTATGTTTCCTTTTGTCAGTATGTCAAGCAGTCTCTTATAGAGAAGTTTCTCAAAGATTTTAAAACATATTGGGAGCAGACTAATGGGTCTGTTTGATGAAGGAAAGTCGGTTTTCTTGTTTGGTTTATGAATCATTTTAATGTATGAATAATTCCACGGTAGGGAAAATTTGTTCGTTTTGAGTACTGCGTTATATATTGATGTTAGGTACACTAGAGCTTTTCTTGTCATTTTCTTGAGCATTTATTTGTCATGGTCAGGAGCTTTCTTTTTGCGTAATTTTCTAATTTGCTCTGCGACTTCAGAGGGTGTAAAGCAAGGTGGAGGTAGTGGAATGGTTAAACTACTTTGTACATGCCTCTCGTCTTCAGTATTAGAGAAGTCAGTATGTGGTGTAAAAACAGAAAAAATATGGTTGGCAAAGAGCTCAGATTTTTCAAGGTCTGATACAGCCCAGGAACTGAGGTACTGGCACCTCATGATGCTTTACAAGCTTCTTGGTCTGTCTCCATAAGCTTTCATTGTCAGTCGAAAGAATTTTGATGTAATTGTCTTAGTTTATTCTTTTAAAATTCTGAATCTGTCGTTTAAGTTCAGTGTTAAGATGGAAGTCGATTAGTCTGCCATACTTTGTGGGCTCTTCTCTTTGCCCCTATCAGATCTCTAATGTACTGCGGATAGTTAGATAGAAGAGATGTATTTCTGCTGGGCCTTTGTACTGACGATGACCATACTGCCTGTTCAAACTGCTTGTAAGTTTGAATAGAGATTTAATTCCTATAATATTTACTCTGTAGTACAATAGTTACTTACTTATAATTAAATATATGTACTTTCAAATCTCTCTTTGTATATATAGTTCAAAGACAAGTTATATGGTTCAAACAGACTCATCATTGATGTAATAAATAGTTTGTGTTATTATAGTTGTCTTAAATATAATCGAAATAAACAAATGTGTTCTTTGAGGTTAAGTTCCATTAAAAATTTTCTACAAAAACTTTTTGTAGTAGCCCAATTTTGCCATGCAATAGTTTCTGTTCAAAGTAGAGCGGTAAATGAAAGTTGTGTGATGCGCGTACTAGATTTTTGTTTTTTTACTTAGAATAGAAATGTTTTCATAATTTAGGTATTTTCATTATAATGTGTAACATATCCACTTAAAATAATTACTTTTCAAAAAATTATTGCCAGTTTAACACTTTAAAGGAAATATAGATTAATTGATTAAATAAAACATACTAATGTTAAAACATAAATTGTCTGTTGACCGTACAAATTTAAAAGAAATACTTTCATATTAATGAAATGTACTATTGGATCTTTAGGAAAAATTCTGATCTTTTTCCAAAACATCGACCAGGAAAGTCATTGAAAAAAAAAGTTAATATTAGTATAGATATATATTATAGATTTAAATATATTATTATAGATCCTCAAAATGTTGCATAAAAATCTTTTTTGAAAATTTAATGTAAGTGAAATGTGTTAAAAGTTGAACTGACAATAAGAAAGCCTGAACTGAGATGAATTGTTTAAATGGAGGGAAATCAGGAAAAGTATGGCACTCTCGACTGTTCCCAATTTCTAAGTTGCAATCTATGACTAACTTTCATTTCTTCAATGGTTAATAATTTATTGTTTTTTTTCAGTCTGACTGAATTTTGTCAAAGAAAAATAATATAATCTGCCACAAACTATGGCATTGAGTATTATGGCTCTATGTTTACATTCTTACATTTTATATATAACTTGAGAAAAAAATAAGATAAGAAGAAAATATGTAAATAAAAATATATACATTAAAAAAAAGAAAAAAAATACATTGAAAGAGTAGTAAAGAAGAAAAAAAAAAAAAAGATACTTGTCACACATTCATTCCTGTTTATAATATTTACATTCAGCCTTGGGAACTCTGAACTATGTCTTGCCGTTCTCATGTGAGAGGCAAGACAGCTCCCAGAGATCCCAGCCGCATCATTATTTAGAAACCAGTGGAGACTGAGTAAGAGTGCTAAAGCCAAAGACGCTCAGTACTTAAGTAGAGAAGCCTCCACTGCCAGAATTCCAATAGAATATTTATTAAAGATCTCAGAGCTATTGCCATTTCAACCTTCATGGGGGGTTAACAGATTTAAACAGGTAAGGAGATAGGAATCGGTTAAGAGAGGAATTCTTTAGCTTTTGCAGTGTGAGAGGAATTTTCTTCCGGATGGAGAATGAATATTTTGGATAGATGTTTTACAAATTCCTGTGCGTTGTTCTCATTTGACGAGGACCAGAAGCCATCATCAAGCCGGAGGGGTTAGAAAATGGTGTTGTATTTTAGAATTTTCTTTTTAGTTTCATTCCAGAGAGAGTTAGCAGAAGTAGAGAGTGAGGAGAGTTGGGAATTGAAGGATTGGGATCTGAAGGTAGCTAATTTCCTTTTTAACTGTTTGGAATAGTGGTTGTACAATTTCCGGTTGTCAGAATACCTAGTTCTTTGTCAGTGGGTCATGGAACATCGTTTGGCATGAATTAGGTCTGCACGGTCTTGAGGTAAAGGATCTTTCTTGTGGTATTTCACAGAAGAAAGAGATGAGGAAGCAGTCCAAATTGCTTGTTGGATTGAGTTCATGAAGGAATTTATGGCATCATTGAGGTCTTGGGAGTTTTTAGAGATACTCTGAATTTAATAAATAATCAAATTAGTTTATAGTGTAAATTTAATCATTTTTTAATACTGTTTACAATGTATAATGGTTAATTATTTTAAATTAATATAATTGAAGAACATTAGAGGAAGAAATTATGTAAATTTGGCATTCAAGTTCTGTCAGACTAGAATCTAGGGCTTGGTATGAAAGACCTCTTGATTTTGCATTGATGTAACTAGTTTTATCCAGAACCATTTTTGAGAATATTGTAAAAATATGTTGGATTTATGACATTAAGTGTCATTTCCGATTAGTCAATTTTGAAGAAAATGTTACTGTAACATCCCAGGCATATACCTACTTTAAATAGATAAAGTCAGTTTCGTACAATTTTTTATATTAAAGTTACACTGTTCACAGAAATACGCACACAGAACATTTTGTAAAACTTGTGTTTTTGGACTGAGAGAATCTCAAAATCCGTATTTCCATTGAACAATTACATTCAAAATTTTCCACTATCATAATACTTTTCCTATCTATATATTTCATATGTTGGCAAGCAAAAGTAATAATATGGTGACCTCAGCAAGCTGCTAGCAACTCAACTGCCTACTGAGTTTCTTCCCAAAAAACAAAAAGCATGCAAGCATAAAATGCCCTTTAAATAAAAGCATAATTGTTTTTCAAAAGTATGTTTGACTTTACATGTTTGTCTTGGGTTAATAAAAAATTAAATAATATTCAAGTCTTCTTATCTATAAGTGTGAAGTCATAGGTAACAGCCAATAAAATATAATTATAATGCTAGAAAATTAGGAATTTAAGTAAGAAGTTATATGAGATTTAAGAACATTGTTGTAATCGTTTCTACATCTTCGGTTTTTTTTTATGTGTATATATATATATATATATATATATATATATATATACCACCTTGAGGAACACCGGCAAACTGAGTAAAAAGAGATGAATAAGCATTGTTATAATTGACTTTGAAGTATCTGTCAGTAAGGTAGGAACGGATAATGAGGAAGTATTTAGGAGCCAGGAATTTATGGAGTTTGTACATCAGTCCTGGATGCCAGACTATCAAACGCCTGTTCAACGTTAAGAAAGACTCCAGTGCAGTACATTCCGCTGCAAACACCTTATAAAAAAAATAAAATAAAAGGTGATGTCTAATGATATTGAGTTGTACGATACGATAATAATAATAATTCAATAAAATAATCTCATTATTAACAAGCTTCAGTCATCAGAAATCAGAAGAAAAAAAATTGTATATATCAGTGTGTATGCAAGATTGTGTATGCAAGATATATATATATACACAAGTGTGTATGCAAGATATATATATATATATATATATATATATATATATATATATATATATATATATATGACTTGAACAGTTTAAAAATAATAATTAAACTCATTTATTTATTTTCTTCCTCTGATTTTTAAATCGTTATATTTTTCAGATCAGCCTGAAATAGAAAATATTATGAAAGAGGAACCTGTTGAAGACATTACTATATGTAAGGAACTGTTTTTTTTTTTTTTTTTTTTTTTTTTGTTTTTTTTTGCATATTGCATTTAGTTATCCGATTTTATTTCTTACAATTTCCAACTTGTTTCAGCTCCTGATATAATAATTAAAGAAGAATATGATGAGGAGGATCCTTCCACTAACAATGGTAATTTATTATTTTTTTATATTAGATTGTTCAATGAAATATAATATATATTGCTTGTATTGAACTTGAAGTATAATAATAATTTAAAAGTCTATTTCTTGATTGTAAAGTTTTAAAAAATTAACACTATGAGACTTTGTAAAAATGGATTTGTTTACTGAAAAAGTTATTTTATTATTATATATGATTCATAATAAAAATATTGTTGTTTTTTCAAAATAAATATTGGCTTTGAAACACTTTGACTGATGATAGGAGGAAAAGTTAGGTACTATGGATTTCATTTATCGCTTCATACTCTTAGTAATTAAGTGTTTATTTGATTTATTTTACTTTCTCAATTATCTACAACAGATGAAGTATAGTTATCAGTTATCAACTTTTCTTTTTGGTTCATAGTGTATTTATAACTTTTAATAATAACTCCTTGGGTTACAATCAATGATCTGTAAAAATTATTTTATTGTCATTATTCACTAAAAAATGTAGGAGTTGTTTATTTTTAATAAAACTGATGAATATCGAATAATTCACTGATCTATCGTGCTGTAGACTGGTGTGATCCTAGGCCTTCTCAATGAGCCTTCACCAGATAAATCTATTCTGTGCAGCCTCTCGCCACTTGTAAGTGCCCAGCAGGTATCGGGCATCCTTTGGCTATTGTATCCTTCGATCTTAGTCGTGGTCTGCAACTTCCTGTGATCCCAAAAAATATCAAAATCGTAAAAGGTTTTTAAAAAAATGCTTGATAAAAGTGATTTCATACATGACACAGTTGCCACGGTTAAGTATCTAATTAATATAAGGAGAAAATAGATTTTTTAAAACATTAGTTGATCATGAATCATTCTAGTTGTTAGAAATGCACAAATATAAGTTGTGCTTTTTCAGATTACTATTTCATTTTTATTTACTAATTCATCACTTTTATTTTTAAAAATCTTTTTTTCTAGTGTGGGTTGCTGAAGGACTAATGGAAGAAGATGAGACAAAGTATTGCATCCCATCAACTTCAGGTAAGTTATTTTTCATTTTTGAAATCTTTTTATTTTTATTTTATTTATTATTGTTCTTCTACTTTTAAGGGACATTGGCATATTAAATCACAATTTTATCTTCTTTTGTAGAATTCTGATTTTCTTAAATGGTCAGAACAGTTTTTTATTTCTTTTTTATATTTCTGGAGGATTTCTTCTAGTGTAGCTTGTGTAATTAAGGTACTCATGTGAATACAGTATCGAACACAAATGCAGCACATTACTTCTGCCCATCTTGATCTTGGGTTTGAAGTTTTTATTCGAGTGCACCCTTTCTTAATTTCCATAAGCTTAGCCAAATTTATATCTCATTTATCCTTCCTTTTTCTTTAAAATATGAGACAAGTTGATGTGTCTTAATTATTGCGGCTTGTGGAGCATCTTGTTGCCAACCTCAGTTGGTTCTATTTTATATTACAAAATTATTTGAAATAATTAACAAGAGAAAGTCATGGACATGTTATCACTAATTTCAATGAATGCTTTTTTGGTAATACTTAAAAAAAAAAAAAGTGGACAGGTATTTACATGCTCAAAACTTGGTGTTGTTCTGATTTGGTCCAAAAATAAGAATTATACATGTATTTTAGGTATTATAAACGGAATACTTATGCAGATTGAATTGAATTTTTTTTTTTAGAGATAAACAAAGTTGATATTTGTTTTTCACACCTCAAAAAATCCTTAAATAAGAAGTTTTTGGCTCTTTTTTACTTTAAGCACAACAGTGATGCTATATTTTTCCCTTTTCACCTCTCCAACACGTCATCTTGTTAAGTTACAATTTTAAATAATAGCTCATTACAAAGAGTATGAAATGCTAATCATTTCTCTCACTTACAACATGCAGGTCCATTTTTAATTTCTGAGATATTTTAATCCATCTCTTTAATAAAACTCGTTATCAGTTGGTTTTTGACACTATTTTTCCCATTTCACTTCTCTAACAAGGTGTTGCGTTAAGATACATACATACATACATAAGTGGCACGACATCCCATCACCGAGACTGGGCCTCCTCTAAAAGTCTCCACCAGTTTGTTAGGTCGTTTGCTGCATCTCTCCAGTTTTGTACTCCCTAAAGGACCTGGTTGGACCAGGACTCACCGCTTCCCATCGAGCTCTTTGGTAAGGATCATTTTCGGAATCTTGTTGGCAGCCATTCTTTGCACATATCGTTCCCTTCGGAGTCATCTGAGCTTCACAAACTTGACTATATCAACATCGTTGTAAAGTCTCGTTAGTTCGGCATTCCTTCTTCTTCTCCATATGTCCTGTCGAATAGGGCCGAAAATCCGTCTAAGAAAGCTCCTCTTGAAGACAAGAAGCCTGGACTCATCCGCCTCTGTGAGCGTCCACACCTTTTAGCCATAAGTACGACTGGACAGACCAGAGTCTTATATATAGAGCTTGATCTTGGTCCGGTTTGAAAGTATTCTATTTCTAAAATGTTTGGCAAGGCCAAAGTAGCAACGGCTAGCTGCTGCAATCCTTCTGTTTACTTCCTGGGTAGTGTCATTTGCGGAGTTGATTTCCGAACCCAAATAGGCAAAGCTGCTTACCTTCTGAAAGCGCCACTCTCCTGCATCAAAATATCCAACTCCTAGTTCGGCTCCTCCAATCCGCATGTATTTGTGTTAAGATACATTTTTGAATAATAGCTCATTAGAAATATGGTGAAATACTTGACATTTCCCTAGCTTACAGTATGCAGGTCCAATTTCTAGTTTCTAAGATATTTTAATTCATATCTTCATTCAAACTCGTTCGTTTTTTCCCTTTTTGTCTCTCTAACACGGTGTCACTTTAAGATATTATATATATAAGTTAAGGTAAAGTACAGATTTTTTTTTTTTTAAGTTAAGATAAAAGATATATAAGACACGTTAAGATATAAGATATATAATACACATTAAGATATCATTTTGAGTAATAACTTATTTCAAAGAAGATAAAATTCTGAACATTTCTCTCACTAACGGTATGCAGGTCCAATTTTTAGTTTCTGAGATATTTTAATCCAAATACAAAAACACTTTAAAAATTCACTCGTGTGCTCCAAGTAGAAAAGAGCCGAATTTCCATCACAATCGAAAAAAAAAATTGTAAAATTAAGTAAATTTTTGACTTCTAGGGCTCAATCCCTAGAATCTCGGACGTGAGTATAATATTTTTGACTTGGTATCACCAAAAAAGTTTTATTGAAATCAGTTACACCATGTCCATAACCTTCTCTTGTTATTAGATATATTTGATTGATGTTAAAACTATTCATTCTTAACTAAAAGTTACTGAAATACGTGCTTCTGTAAACAAATTAAACTATATGTTGTTTTTAATCAGGTTTATTTTGGTTTGATTACTTATTTACAGTACAAATAAGTAGTTGTAAATAAAGAAAATAAATTGAGTACTTTTTACTCTCCTTATAAGGTAATGCAATCAGAACTCTACCAGATGAATTGTATTGAATGTTCCTAAAAGGCACATATGACGATCGTTTTGGGTTAAATCTGCTCGATTCGAGTTGTTCACAACATGTCTGATCTCTTTGACACCTGTCTACTCTTGAATTTTTTTGGAGAGGAAAGCTGTCAAGAACATCGACCTACTCCTATAACTATACAAGCTTGATTAGAATGTATAAGCATTCATGGAGGACAGGGTAGCCGTGCGAGCTAACACTTGCAAATGCGTTGTCCGGAACAAACTGTGGTAAACCAAAGTTTACAAGTTCAAATCCCGGCATTGGGGTCTTTTAACTCTAGCACTATTCCCCCGCCCTCGCCCCTGGATCAGGACAAACCCCATACAGTCTAAAAGGCAAGGAAGGTGAAGAAAAACAATTTTAAGAATTCTCATTCTTATAAATAGTTATTGAACATCTTAACAAGTTTCCTCTGAAATTTGGTTCTTAAATAAAGTAAGTACAGTCACTTAATATAGTTTTAATTCAATTAAACAATCTTAAATAACAAAATATTATTCATTTTTTAATCTATAAATTCTTTCTACAAATAAATAGAAGAGAAACTGGATTGGAGCTGTAAAATATCATCTACATCTTTTTGATTTCTCACATCAAAACTATCACAACTCTGTGGTAACTCATGGGAGGTAGTTGGAAGGAAATCAGCTGTTTAGCGGTAAGTAAAGGTTTTCCAATAAATTGAAATTTTTTTATTAAGAAATTTATATTTTCGAAGAACTTAGATGAATAATTTTGAGCTTAGAATTAATCTTAGCTGGCTTATTTTAATTCATTCTTGCTTAGAAAAGAATTTTATGCCTTTAACTAAAAACAAAAAATAATTAATATGACTTCTAGTATTAACAATATATTATAGACATCAATAATGTTCCTCCTTTCCTTAATTTCCTAATAACTAGTGATGAAAAAAAAAAAAAAAGCATTATGAAGTAGAATCTTTTAATAAATTTTTGTAAATGTATATATTTTTTTTATTCCAGCTGAAAAATACTAAACAAAGTGGAAATCTTTCACACAATACTTTTACCAAGCAGCTCAAATGAAATCAAGTCAAGCACAAAAGAAGTATCAGCCTTGTCTCCCAGAAGTGCAAACAGAATTTTAAAGACCATTTTGGCCATTTAAAAAACTACAATCTCCAAACCACTTTCTGCTGACAATGGAGTAAAAGAAAACTATTCCAAAAGATTTACCAATACTAAATATTGGTGCACTCAATAAAGTTAGAATTGGTTAGAATCTGTCTGAAAAATTTGAGGTTCATTCGGGTTTAAAACAGGGGGATTCCCTTTCGCCTGTCCTGTTCAATTTGGCATTAGAATATGCCATTAGGGAGGTAATGCGTACCAAGAAAGGGTTGGATCTAGGCGGGACAACATCCGTGCTGGGCTATGCTGATGATCTGGTACTGTTAAGCGAAGACGGTGAAACTATAAAACTAAATACGACAATGTTAATAAAAGCCGTTAAAGAATTAGGACTCGAAATAAATGTGGATAAAACAAAATATATGTTTAGCTGAAAAAATGGCAATACTACTGGTGATATCGATATAGATGGTAATATGTCTGAACAGGTAGATAAATTTAGGTATCTAGGTTCTACGATAACTAGAAAAAACGAAATTGAAGAAGAGATTAAGGTTAGGCTGAAGGCGGGAAATGCTTGTTATTTTTCTATGACAAAACTACTTAGTTCGCGCCTCTTGTCCCGGAACTTAAAAATTAGAATCTATAAAACAATTATCTTGCCTACAGTTCTTTATGGATGCTAAACTTGGCCGCTTACATTAAGGGATGAGCAGCATCTTAAGGTTTTTGAAAATAAAGTATTGCGTAGAATATTCGGACCGAAGAAGGATGAGTTAACCTGAGAGTTCAAACGGTTACACAATGCCGAATTGCGTGAACTGTATCCGGGTAATATAATTGAGGTAATTACATCGCGACGAATCAAATGGGCTTGTAAAGTTGTCGGGCTTAGTAAGGAGAGAATTCCTAAAAGATTAATATTTGCTGTGCCGAATAGTAAGCGTCCGAGGGGTAGACCGAAGCGAATGTGGAAAGATTGCATTAAAGCCGATCTGAAGGGACTGGGTTTGGACGGCGAACGGTGGAGAGAGGTGTGTAATAAGCGATTGGTGGTGTCGCCATCGAACCTTCGGGTTCGCTAAGCCTTTTATTATTATTATTATTATTAAATATTGGTGCAAGTGATTTCATCAAAATCAGATTCACCTTATATGTCATGCTCATCACTCAGATTGACTGTAGATAGAGATGGGTCCAGTATAAAATTCCATCTTTATATTTTGTGTTTATTATAACTTTACTAAACATGTCAAAACAAACAATTGATGAAGTATTAAATATGTTTTTCCTTATACCTTTTGTTTTTTTATTCTTATGAACCTATCCAATGGAAATGATGACCTTGGCAAACTTTTTTTTTTGTTGATAGAAAAGTTCCTATCAAAGCATATAATAGATATAAAAAGAATAATAGCATAACATTATAATACCTATCTGATAACAGATAAAATTTATCAATGGCTCAATTTCCAATAAACTGGAAAGCCATTAATTTCTAATTCTTTTATTACAATTCATGCAAAAATAAACCAATTATAAAATATTTTGAGGTAGTTTTTCACACTAAAGTAAGTTTTTAGACACTAACTTATTGGCAAGCTTCATGTGAGTTTATCGTTTGTCAAAGTTTTATGGAATAGCCAATATCCTTCAATTATAATATTTCAAAACTAAAATAAATATTCCAGAAAACATTTGTAATTAGTGAAAAATGGATAAATTAAATTTATACAAATGCAAATATGGAACCAGATAATTTTTAGATAAAAATAAGAGATAAACTAATTGTGTAAGTAAAAATAATTAATATAAAGAAGATTTAAAAAAGGAGAAATTTAAAAATTCCATGCTGACATAAATTAACCACATACAATATACAGATGAAATTTCTTGATTACAATTGAAAAAAAAACATTATCACTAGAACAAACATTTAAATAATTATTAAATCAGTTATTTCACTAATAGCCAATGCAATATTTTCATGATGTGGGTAAAAACATTAATAACTGTATAATTGTAAAACATTGTAAGATAAAAATTTACTATAAATATTTTTTTTATTAAGGACTTTTCCACTACTGTGGTTTTCGTTTTTCTAAATATCATTTAAGATGTTAAAAAAAAATATACAGTTTAAAAAATCAATTCAACCATTATTTATGCCACCTGTGAGAATGCTGAAGAAAGTCAATTTTTCATGATCTCAGAGTATTCTGAGTGAACTTATCGAGCCAGGAAATCATCAGAAGATTACAAAATAATAAATTTAATTAGATTCAAGATAGCAAAATGAATTAAATGTTGATGATAACTCATGTCAGTTATTACATCACACATTATAATTCAGAAACAGGTGATCCGGAAGATCCTTGTTGAAGATGAATCCCCAACAAATATGGAATAATCTATATTACAAATTATAGAGTGAAAATAAATTTCATTATGAAGGAAGATTTTGAAGGAGTTGTACTTATTTTATCTGCCCAAGCCAATTTGGAAACAAACTAGTTAACCACCAAAAATTACATATTAATTTTTCTATACACTTTTATTATAAAAAATATATTATTTTTCATAAAACTCTATATCTCACATTGCTTAAGCGATAAAGAGGAAATAGAATATGACGATGATGATAAAAATCTATCTAAAAACTAAATTTAAAATAAAAATGTTTTTCATAAGAATAAACAATTTCATTTATTTGACATCAAATACAATTTTAATGTAATATATATATATATATATTTTTTTTTTTTATATCATGTTTCACCTCCAGTTTCTTTAAAAGTGATGTCTCTCCATGTATCTGTTACTGAAAAATTTTATTGCATTTATATGTGCTTAAATAAGTAAAAATACCCACGTTGAATTATTTTTTAAAAAAATATCATTTTATATATATATACTACCACAGGATCGATGAATTTCATTATTTCACAATTTTCCTCTATGATTTTTTTTCTTTTGGCTATGTAGACTATACAAGATCTTTAACCACATGATTTGATCTTTTTATAGACATATTTTATTTGTGAGAGTACAGATAGCCTGGAGGGGGTCACCCAACCTCAAGACCATGGTCTCCATGCTGCAGTGGCAGGCTACCCATAGCTAAATAGCCGATCTCTTTAGGGCCAACTGGTTGTGTCCTTCCTGACTCATTCGGGTCAAGGACTGTGACAAATCAATCTAGATCCATGGATCATAACTGTTCAGGGTCAGCAGACACATGACAGTCTATATTTCTTTTGCCAAATTAGACCTTCCATGAACCAAACCGCTGCAAGGCTACTGAGATCCTGAGAAACCACATTGCAATTCCCGATTTAATTGCACAGGGTAGGATCATCACTACTACGTCCGGTGTGAAAATATATATCAGACAAATAAAAATTGATTTCCCTTTTATCATTTATTATATTTTATTTCATTTTAGATTTTATTTTTTCTTGATATTCTTCCTTGAATGTAATAAATACAGAGATGATGAATTCTTCTTTGTATTGGAGTTCATTATATAATTTTAAACAAATTAAAATATACATATAATTGGTAATTGGTTGACTGTCGTGGATAATGAAGAGAAGAATAGTTGGGGTGGTCATTCAAAAAGGAAGGCAAAAATAAATGTCAATATTTATTTTTTACATATGCCGACGTTTCGACCTGAAGTTCAGGCCTTCATTAGGTCTGTCTCCTTATATATATATATATATATATATATATATATATATATATACTCACCTTCCAATTCATGTGGAATCGTACTTAAGTATTGTGATGAGTAGAGGAAAAAAAGAAAATTCAACTAGGTGATTTGTATATGGCTTGCCTTTGAAACTAGTTTGGCAAAGACATTTATAGAATCGAAACCTATGTGGGTAATAATTTTTTGATAAGTTCTTTTAAGTGATTGAGCAGCAGCTATTATTTATTCATTTTCTTTTTTTTTTTTAGCTGGATTAACAGAATTAAGTTACAAAGAGAAGCCTGCAGAAACAGAAAATAGTAAGTATTTTTTTCTTTTGTGATTAGTTCAGTCTAGACCTAACAAACCCCACAGCCTGACAGACTACATAGTGTGACCTTTCAATTTTTATGTTCCTAATGAAACTTTTCATCTTGTTATATTTATGCAAGCAATTTTAAAAAATGGAAATCTTCATGTTTCATTGTTATACTAGTCAAGTAAGAATATTTATGGTATTCAGTTTTTTATTTGATTTCCACAATCACAAAATATTGTTAAACAAATAAGAAAAACTAATGAAAGAAAGGATAAACAAATATTTCATTTATACAGACTCAAAAATTAATTATATTGAATTATAGTATAACTATAATGTTTTATTTATACTTCATTTTTTAAAAGCTCTTATTAATGTTTTGCCACTGTCAAAAAAATTATTTTTTCCTCCTTCAGTTGATATACATGTAATGTCTTATTTTTTTTTATAATGAAAATGAAAATAATTGATATAAGTTATTCGGTATAAATAAGAATGTTATAAAAATATCTAATAGCAAATAACTACTAATTATTAATAATGTATTATTATGGAACTAAAATAATTATTTTGAAATAACTTTATTATGATTAATGAGTCAATACACAAATGACGTGAACACTTCTAGGAAGGATTTAACACTGATCAATCAGAAAACAATTTGACATCGAATGAAGTAAACAAAATTTAAATGGAATAAATATAACATAAATTTAAATGGAATGAATATAACATAAATTTAAGTGGAATGAATATAACATAAATTTAAATATAATTTCTCTATGTAACTAAAACTACTTAATATGATAAATTGATTCTAAAATAACTGTAAATAATGCTCTCTACTATATAAAATATGTACATATCTAAAGACTCCAATCTCCTGTTGATACAACTATTGTGCTGGCTGAGAGATGAGTAATGCTCCACCCAACCCATATCTTCAACAGCTCTAGTGGAAGCTTTTCGGGTTAACTATATGTTGATAATTTTTTTTAAATGGCAACATCTTTTACAGAGCCTCAGTTCTCCATTTATGCTTTTTATGTACATGGTGAGATGTTGATACATCTCAATATAATATATATCTTTAGTCCTATTCTTTTTTTCCATATTTTACTAATGAAGCAAAGTGATTGCGTATGAGGCCCAACAAATTTATGTTCTTTATATCTTCCTTTCGAAATGGGAAAACCCTGACAAGCCCTTGTAAATCTATAATTTTGACTTATCAATGACCCAAACCGATTCATTGTTCGATTTCATTAAAAAAAATAATGTTTTTGAGTAAAACATTCCAGAATGACGCTGCTTATGGCAAAATTTCAAGTCAGCAAATCATTACAACGATATAATATTCTTTATTTCGTAGAATATAAATTTCACAATTACTTTTTTAATATAGATTTAATTAGTATAAATTTGTTTTTATTTTCCAGCTCCTACTATTATTGAAGATGGTGAAAGTTCAACTGCCAGTCCCAACAAGGGTATGTTTCTGAAGATTTTAGTTTTAATATAATATTTTCTAAAATAACATTGAATTATTAACAAATTTAATTACAATATATAAATCAATTTAGTTCGATCTTGATACAGTCATTAGGTAGTGAAATTTGTAATACAATTTTGTAATTCTTGTTTTTTATATATTTTTTGAAAAATTATTACTCAAAAATTCAACATGTTTTAAACATTTATAATTAATGGAAATTTGCTAGTTTCATCTATTAATGTAAAAAATATAAATAATTCAGAGGTTAAAAATAATGTGATGAAAGTTGGAAAATTATTTAAATACTTAAAAATATTCTTAATTTAATTTATGTAGTGTTTTATTTAACTGTATTAACTTTATATATTTAATTTTTAGGTGGTGAAAATCAACAAAAGAAACTACACAAGTGTCCATATTGTGATCATACCTCTGCATTTCCTTACAGTATCAAAGTCCATATTATATCAAAACATACTGAAGAAAAGCCTTTCCAGTGTCCTCACTGTGATTACAAAGGAAAGTTTTCTGGAGCATTAAAAAATCACATAATGTGCAGTCACTCTAGCGATAAGCCTCACAAGTGCCAGCATTGTAGTTTTAGTGCTTTATTTCTCAGCACAGTGAGAAAACACATAGCTAAGAAACATAAAGAATTGAAAGAGCATCAATGTGATTACTGCCCCTATAAGGCAACGTCTAGGAACCTTTTGAAAAAACATGCATTGAATGAACATTCTTCAGAAAGGCCTCACAAGTGCCCACATTGTGATTATAGTGCTGTACTTTCTACTGGTTTAAAAAGGCACATACATTATAAACACACAGATGAGAAACCTCTTCAATGTCCTCATTGTGAATATAAAGCAATGTTCAGTAACGGACTTAAAATTCACATAATGGCAATGCATACAAAGGAGAAGCCTTTTCATTGCAAACACTGTGATTACAGAAGTACAACAGCTAGTAAGCTTAAATCCCATATGATGTCACAACATGAAATAAGAGAAAAGACGCACCAATGTCCATATTGTGAAAACAAATATGTTATGAAAAGAAGCTTAAGAAGTCACATATATGCCCAGCATAGCACTGACAAACCTTATAATTGTCCACATTGTGATTTTAAAACAGCTTGGCCTGGAAGTATAAAGGCACATATAATGACATACCATACTAAAGAAAGACCCTTCAGATGTCCTCATTGTGAATACGGAGCTATAGACAACGCAACACTAAAAAAACATATAGCAATTTATCATACATTAGTGAAACCGCTTAAATGTCCATATTGTGATTTTAGAACCATTAAGAATTTTACTTTGAAAGGCCATATTATGGTTCACCACACTAAAGAAAAACCATTCCATTGTTCGTATTGTGATTATAAAGCTACATACCATAGCAGTTTGAAAATCCATGTCAAAACTCGACATACCATGGAGAAACTGTACTGTTGCCCACATTGTGATTTTTCTACCATAAATAATTTTAAATTACAAGGACATATTATGGGTACACATACTAATGAACGACCATTTCAATGTTCATCTTGTGAATATAACACAGTTTATCGAAGTAGACTGAAAGAACATATACAAGCTCGTCATTCCGTAACAAAGCCATTACAGTGTCCACATTGCGACTTTGAAACTAGGAAGAATTATACCTTACAAGGACACATAATGTCTCGGCATACAAATGAGAAGCCTTATCACTGTTCCATTTGTGATTACAAAGCAGTTCATCGTTGTAGACTTAAAGAACATATCATGGCTGTCCACACAGATGAAAAACCTTATGAATGCAAGTATTGTGATTATAAAACTGTTTATCGAGGTAGTTTAAGATATCATGTCAAGGCTCAACATTCTACTGATAACACACCAATGCAGTGTCCCCATTGTGAGTTTACCACTTCAGCAAAGGTTGCTATGCGAAAACATATCAAGTTTCATGTTAGTACTGAAAAACCGTTTGAATGTTCACACTGCGGATTCCGGACTGTTTATCACACCAATTTAAAGAAACATATAGTTAGGCAGCACATTAGTATTGATGAAAAAACTGATTTTACTTCACATATGGATGATAAGTCCTTAATTACCTTTGAAACGTGAAGCTGTTCTAGATGGAACTATGAGGGCTGAATTGTAACTTTGTGTTCACTTTTGTTTAATCAGGTAAATTACTGATTAAGCTTTTGCTTCTGTGATCTGTGATTAGATCGGATTGTGTTTCAAACATAATATAGGTATGCATAGGTATACATAAAAAAAGTATAGGTTACTTTTTACGAATCAGATGCAGTAAATTACTACAAAGAATATTGCTTGTGTATAGTAGGACTATATTTATTTTTTAAACATTTACACAAGAAGTAGAAATAAAATAATATCTGTATTTTATATAATTAAAATAGTTAACTTCTTAAAATGTATAAAAAATAATTTAAACAGTCATAGCCCATATGATGTTGATTTGCCTTTTGAAATGCTAGTTTAAAAGTCCATCAAACTATTATATGGGTTAAATTTGTACCATACAGAAGACTGTTCCAATGAAACTATTCTTCAAATTAGCAATGATGGAATTTACTTTCCTGAGTTGATTTAATTGATCTCATAATTTCTCTTAATTCTTTCTACTTAACCAGAATTTTATTGAAAAAATAAGTTTATTATAATTAGCTATTATATATGTTTTAAAATGTGGATATACTCATGATTTGGGTAATCAGTTTTTATTCTTGATAATTATGAGATTAAAAATTGGGAATGCTGACTGACGCTGCAGTATTATTAATTAGTAAAAGAATAAAATGCAATGTTTTGAAACCTAAGATTTTCAAGATTCAAACTCTTAGATTCATTAAATTGTTGTGCTGGTAAGATTTAAGAGATTGTGATGAACTTCCACTTGGTAATATTTTTTACAATCAGATTTAGAAAAAACATCTTATAAACTCTTATTGTATTCAGAAATCATCTGTTTTTTTTAAAAACATATTAATAAAATAGATTGTATGGATAAAATAATAAAATGGTGAAAGAATTCACGGATACTAACCGTAATATAAAATGCACTTAAATTATTGTAATCTCGTTGATAATTACTGTTTTAATTTATAAAATTTATTTACTTTTATATTTTTTTTATATATTGTTATTTCCAAAATCAGAGATTCGAAAAATTATGTTTTTTAATCGTACCACTGAACTAGTTTTTAAATGTTAAAATTAGTTTCCACGATAGTAAGTCAAAAACTAGATTATCGCACTGATTATAATAAGATTTTGTGATCTGTTACAATTTTATGATTTTGTTAATTTTTAAATGCAATATAAGTCTTATACCTGTATCAAGTAGTTTTATCTCTATTACATTTAGTTTTCAATTTATTTGTTTAACATAATCAAACTTTATGTATCTAACATGAAGGTTCCTTGAAAACTTATAGTAATTACAATACAATTGTAATTTTTCAGTTTTCAGGTTGAAGAAATTTTTTCAAAGGTTAAAGAAAATAAGTAATAAGTGATCAGTGATCATATCATTGGTTTTCTGAAAAAAAAGGGAGAATCCAACAATTCACTACTTTCCAGGGAAGAATATTTTACAATGCATTTCAGCAAGTGACATTGTTTTTGCCATTTTATTTATAGAGATCTAAAAGGAGTTTGTACAAATATGTATGTCTCATATTCATTATTTTGTTTTTTTCATATTTCTATCTATTGATACTTAAATGGTATGAAGATGATCGATTGTGATTATAATATGAGAAGGAGTTGGTCAGGGTCAAATTAAATATTATATATTATAAATGGTGTAACCAATAAAATACTAATATAATATATAGTATTTAATTTGACTGCATCCCCACCCAACTTCTTATATTGGTACTTTAAATCTGAAAAAGCCCAATTCGAAAGTTTATATTTTGTTGAATTTTTCCTTTTCTACAAAATGCCAATGATGTAACAAATTTTAACAATTATTTATTTATTACCAGAGTTTTTCCTTGTTTCCTTATATATTAAATAAATATATATACCGATAATATAAAAAAAAGCAGTATGTTTATAAATCAGAAAATTATAAACAAAAAGGAACTTGTGTTAATTTTTTCTTTGTTCTATTATCTGCTTATGATGATTTTCTTCTTCCCATGTTTTTTTTTTGTTTCTCTTACATTGCCACCTAGGAGTAACAACTGGGTGCTTATGGAGTTTGTGAGATACTCTACATTCTTATATCAGGGTTGTTTGGTCCAACAGTCCTCTTATTTAGCAAAATACACGTTTATACTTTGAAAATGTCTTCTACATTGTCAGAGCTATAATTTCCCCGACAAATAACCACTGTCACATCATTGACAAAGCCCGTTAACTGTACTATCCATTCTACGATGGATCCTTTTGTTTCCAATTGACTTATGCAGAAGCAGAAGAAAGAATAGCAACGATATATTGCGTTGAGGCAATCTTCATTGAAGCAGTCATTTGTTAAAATTTCTTTTTCTGTAATCTATGCTCATAATATACAAAATGATTTTCTTTAGCCGTGTCCAACCATCCTGTACATTACTATTTTTACTCCAGGAGAGAGAGCATATTTTGTTTGTCATTCTTCTTTTATAATTTATTTTTTGTCTTCATTTGTTTTCTTCTTCTGTTTTCTTTTGACTGGTATATATATTTGAGTAGAAGTTGTTGCGGTGAAAGGGGCCATGATAGGAAGTCTTTTTCGCTTCTTCTAGGAATCTTAATCACAATATTTGTCCTAGATGTGCCATGGTAGAAGAAATCTCTTTTGGAAATGCTTGATTTAAATGGAATTCAGTGGTAATTGTTAATCGTATTTTGATGTTTATACATTTAACATATTTCTTGTCAAGTTATTTCGTTAAAGGTTCACTTGAAGATGTTCTAGCTTTAATTATGAGGTATAAGTATCAAAATGAATATTCCATTCATCTAAAATTACTCACTTCTTCAATGGAATTTTTAGGTTTCTCCCAGAAAAGTTTTAATGATATAACACTTGATTTACTTTTTGTATTCTGCCTCCCAAATTACTGCTGGAAATGTTTGTTGTAATAGAAATTCAAGATTCCTAAAAAAGCTAATGTATTAGAATTTTTCAAAAATTAAATTTTCAAGTATAGAAGTTTAACAGTATTTATTGTATTTTTTCGTGTTACCTTTATTTCATTCCTATCTAGTAGGAAAGAAAAATAAAATTATTATCTGAATGTTTACTTAGATCATTCATTTATTTATTTACCTACCAATCATAGATGACTGATCAACGATAATTTTATGTAATAAACATTTATATGTACAAATTTTGTACATTGCCATTATGATGGTTGATTTTTTAGCCTATTGTATATTAGTCTTTATATTGATCAAAAATATTGTTATCTATTTATTCAGTGAACGATTTAGAATAAGTTTACTTTTAAAAAAGTGTTTTTATGAGATATTTAATTATCTTAAACTATGAATATTTTATTTTATTAAAGTTTTATTTGAAAGTATTGAACATTTTCAGTGATCAGCTATGAATGGCTGCTTACCGACCTCTATATCCCAATGTTTTTATAAATTATATCTAAAACAGTTTATGTATATTTTTAAAGTTGAAAAATTAATGAAATTTAAGTTTACTTTCCACCTCATACACCTTTTTAACTTTTTTTTCAGCCTTATGATAAAATTTTAGTTTTTTATCTTAATATATCTACTTTCTTGAAACAGTTGAGTATTATAACAATAACATTTGATCTGGGTCAAGACAAAACCAGTAGTTGTGGCCAATGGTGATTGCCTAAGCCAGGCAGAAATGGAATGCCTCATTCAGGGCATCACTGGGCCTATAAAGAATACATAATACTATAATAAGAATTAAAAAGCCTGATTCCTATCCACTTTCTACTTTTTGATTCTTTGGTCTTCCTCTTTGCTTAGATTTTCATTTTTACACAATTATCAGAATAATTATTTCTAACCTCAGTTCCACATGCTGTTACTTAGATCAATTACATCAAGCTGGCTAGAGATTTATCAGTCCTGAGTGGAAGTCCAAAAGTATATCTGAAGTACAAACAAATCTAACTTGTAAACAAGAAAAAATAAACTAGTTCAAGCATGGGTGCCATTTCTCCCCCAAGGTTGATGGTGCATGGACCATCCATCCTCTCCGAACATTTTATTACTCTCCCCTTTTTAGAAATAGTGCAAGCTAAAGTAAAATTTAAAAAATCGTAGATCATTTAAAATTAAACTTGCTCTGCTCTGTCCTATGTTTTCCCATTACTTCTCTGTTTTGAAACTTTTCAATTTGAAAATTAATAACCCTTTCAATATAGGCACTTGAATTTAGGAAGTATTGGGAGAGCGAAGATTACTGTAACATAATAACATTGTTCAATGCATAGGAGAAGAAGATTGAATGTCATACATAAAGCAGTAAATCAATAATCAGTTTATCGCCTGTAATATTATATAATTAATACCTATAGGTTTTATTGAGGTTTATGTTATTATTGTTGAGATGTATGTGCAGAGAGGATATTTACAGTTACCAGAAGGCCTGGACAGTTCGTGTTCATTATAGAGGGTACAATGACTGAGTGGATGAAGGAACATGTATAGAAGGATGACCTTAAGTGACAGGTAGATCAGCACCCAAGCACTTTAGGTCTGCGGACTTGGGACTTGTGGGACAATGAAATACTATCTCAGGGATCAATTTCCTGACTTAGTATATAGGAAAACAAGCGGATGGATCAGCATCCAAACTTGCATGGAGTAAGAAAAGAGGATAAAAGATTACAGAATAGTGTAAAGTAAGAAGAGCAGATAGATAAGAACATAAAGCGTATATGAGGCATGTACTGAATATCTGCATGGTGGTCTACAACTCGAAGGGGTGGATATCGGAAGACCTGACAATTTGAGGTTTGCCTGCTGTATTTATTCCGCCAAGACTAAACCGGCTATCAAGAGCCATTACAATAACAGTATTTTTAAGCTTCGATCAGTATATGTTATCGGCATTAAACTTTATTGATAAAAAGTATTTACAATGTGTATACATATTATAATTTGAAGAGAAGAATAGTTGGGGTCAGTCAAAAAGGAAGGCAAAAAATAAATGATAATATTTATTTTTTATATATGCCGAGATTTCGACCTGAAGTTCAGGCCTTCATCAGGGCTAAGAAAATAACCAGATAACAAGGTATGAGAAACATAAGTAGTGATAGTAAAAAATTAAAAAAAAAATTTTAAAATTTACGAACATACCCATAGACAAGGCACTTACTATAATAGACGACAATTGGACTATCATTGAACCTCACACCTCACTTAACCGCTCCTCATATCTCGAATCCCTTCACCTATGCTGTAAATCAGGCTACCTCACTTTCCAAGGACAATTTTTTAACCAAATCTCCGGACTAGCAATGGGTAACCCCCTCGCTCCCGACATCTCCAACATCGTTCTCAATGATCTTCTAGACTCCATTATCCCTCTTTACCCTGACGATATCATCTTTATTCGAAAATACGTAGACGACCTCCTCCTAATCATCAATCCAAATAAAATTTCCGATATCCTATCACATTTTAACTCTTACCACCCCCGCCTCAATTTTACAGTACAACGCGAACTCAATAATTCCCTCCCTTTTCTCGACCTTCTAATCATTAAAAATCCCAATAACACCATATCCACAGACTGGTGCACTAAACCAACTTACACTGGCAGACTCCTAAATTTCCATTCTAAACATCCCTGCAATATAAGTCTTATACCTGTATCAAGTAGTTTTATCTCTATTACATTTAGTTTTCAATTTATTTGTTTAACATAATCAAACTTTATGTATCTAACATGAAGGTTCCTTGAAAACTTATAGTAATTACAATACAATTGTAATTTTTCAGTTTTCAGGTTGAAGAAATTTTTTCAAAGGTTAAAGAAAATAAGTAATAAGTGATCAGTGATCATATCATTGGTTTTCTGAAAAAAAAGGGAGAATCCAACAATTCACTACTTTCCAGGGAAGAATATTTTACAATGCATTTCAGCAAGTGACATTGTTTTTGCCATTTTATTTATAGAGATCTAAAAGGAGTTTGTACAAATATGTATGTCTCATATTCATTATTTTGTTTTTTTCATATTTCTATCTATTGATACTTAAATGGTATGAAGATGATCGATTGTGATTATAATATGAGAAGGAGTTGGTCAGGGTCAAATTAAATATTATATATTATAAATGGTGTAACCAATAAAATACTAATATAATATATAGTATTTAATTTGACTGCATCCCCACCCAACTTCTTATATTGGTACTTTAAATCTGAAAAAGCCCAATTCGAAAGTTTATATTTTGTTGAATTTTTCCTTTTCTACAAAATGCCAATGATGTAACAAATTTTAACAATTATTTATTTATTACCAGAGTTTTTCCTTGTTTCCTTATATATTAAATAAATATATATACCGATAATATAAAAAAAAGCAGTATGTTTATAAATCAGAAAATTATAAACAAAAAGGAACTTGTGTTAATTTTTTCTTTGTTCTATTATCTGCTTATGATGATTTTCTTCTTCCCATGTTTTTTTTTTGTTTCTCTTACATTGCCACCTAGGAGTAACAACTGGGTGCTTATGGAGTTTGTGAGATACTCTACATTCTTATATCAGGGTTGTTTGGTCCAACAGTCCTCTTATTTAGCAAAATACACGTTTATACTTTGAAAATGTCTTCTACATTGTCAGAGCTATAATTTCCCCGACAAATAACCACTGTCACATCATTGACAAAGCCCGTTAACTGTACTATCCATTCTACGATGGATCCTTTTGTTTCCAATTGACTTATGCAGAAGCAGAAGAAAGAATAGCAACGATATATTGCGTTGAGGCAATCTTCATTGAAGCAGTCATTTGTTAAAATTTCTTTTTCTGTAATCTATGCTCATAATATACAAAATGATTTTCTTTAGCCGTGTCCAACCATCCTGTACATTACTATTTTTACTCCAGGAGAGAGAGCATATTTTGTTTGTCATTCTTCTTTTATAATTTATTTTTTGTCTTCATTTGTTTTCTTCTTCTGTTTTCTTTTGACTGGTATATATATTTGAGTAGAAGTTGTTGCGGTGAAAGGGGCCATGATAGGAAGTCTTTTTCGCTTCTTCTAGGAATCTTAATCACAATATTTGTCCTAGATGTGCCATGGTAGAAGAAATCTCTTTTGGAAATGCTTGATTTAAATGGAATTCAGTGGTAATTGTTAATCGTATTTTGATGTTTATACATTTAACATATTTCTTGTCAAGTTATTTCGTTAAAGGTTCACTTGAAGATGTTCTAGCTTTAATTATGAGGTATAAGTATCAAAATGAATATTCCATTCATCTAAAATTACTCACTTCTTCAATGGAATTTTTAGGTTTCTCCCAGAAAAGTTTTAATGATATAACACTTGATTTACTTTTTGTATTCTGCCTCCCAAATTACTGCTGGAAATGTTTGTTGTAATAGAAATTCAAGATTCCTAAAAAAGCTAATGTATTAGAATTTTTCAAAAATTAAATTTTCAAGTATAGAAGTTTAACAGTATTTATTGTATTTTTTCGTGTTACCTTTATTTCATTCCTATCTAGTAGGAAAGAAAAATAAAATTATTATCTGAATGTTTACTTAGATCATTCATTTATTTATTTACCTACCAATCATAGATGACTGATCAACGATAATTTTATGTAATAAACATTTATATGTACAAATTTTGTACATTGCCATTATGATGGTTGATTTTTTAGCCTATTGTATATTAGTCTTTATATTGATCAAAAATATTGTTATCTATTTATTCAGTGAACGATTTAGAATAAGTTTACTTTTAAAAAAGTGTTTTTATGAGATATTTAATTATCTTAAACTATGAATATTTTATTTTATTAAAGTTTTATTTGAAAGTATTGAACATTTTCAGTGATCAGCTATGAATGGCTGCTTACCGACCTCTATATCCCAATGTTTTTATAAATTATATCTAAAACAGTTTATGTATATTTTTAAAGTTGAAAAATTAATGAAATTTAAGTTTACTTTCCACCTCATACACCTTTTTAACTTTTTTTTCAGCCTTATGATAAAATTTTAGTTTTTTATCTTAATATATCTACTTTCTTGAAACAGTTGAGTATTATAACAATAACATTTGATCTGGGTCAAGACAAAACCAGTAGTTGTGGCCAATGGTGATTGCCTAAGCCAGGCAGAAATGGAATGCCTCATTCAGGGCATCACTGGGCCTATAAAGAATACATAATACTATAATAAGAATTAAAAAGCCTGATTCCTATCCACTTTCTACTTTTTGATTCTTTGGTCTTCCTCTTTGCTTAGATTTTCATTTTTACACAATTATCAGAATAATTATTTCTAACCTCAGTTCCACATGCTGTTACTTAGATCAATTACATCAAGCTGGCTAGAGATTTATCAGTCCTGAGTGGAAGTCCAAAAGTATATCTGAAGTACAAACAAATCTAACTTGTAAACAAGAAAAAATAAACTAGTTCAAGCATGGGTGCCATTTCTCCCCCAAGGTTGATGGTGCATGGACCATCCATCCTCTCCGAACATTTTATTACTCTCCCCTTT